TCCTAGAAAGTCTGTACCAATATCCTTCACAAAACATGAGTCTCGGTTTTATCCTGTGTTTGCTACTTTCGATGAAAAGGCCGTAAAAGGTAGGTTTGTACAGTGTACCTTAGTCGAGTTCCTGTGCGTCTCCAAGTTGATACTGCCTCGGATATCACGGTCATGTCAGAGGAAACTTGGAAGAAAATCGGGGAGCCATGTATCCAGAGCACATCTCGTGTTGCAACCAACGCATCAGGAGGAGTGTTGAAACTAGTTGTTGAGAGTAGCTGTTCAGTCTTTCAAAGACTCATTTTGAAAGCACGTGTTACGTGACAGAACATCACAATCTCAACTTACTTGGTCTCGACTGGATTGAAAATCTGAAGTTACTGGATGTTCCCTTGAACTCTGTATGTAACAAACTACACAGTCCGGCTGTGAACTGGAAGGAAACTCTGCAAAAAAAGTATCCGCAGGTGTTCAAGGATGGATTGGGATTGTGTCCGAAAACCAAGGCTAGCTCATCCCTGCACCAGGGTGCAAAACCAGTTTTTCGACCGAAGCGGCCAGTCGCATATGCAGTTATGTCAATCAGTAAACAAGAACTTGAGAGGCTACAATCCGCCGGAGTCATTAAGCCGGTCAATTACTCTTCATGGGCAGCACCAATTATAATTGTTAAGAAGCCAAATGGCAAGATTCGGCTCTGTGCAGACTATTCTACTGGCTTAAATGCGGCGCTCGAAAATCACCAATACCCCTGCCACTTCCCGAAGACCTTTATTGCACAATTGAACGGCGGCAAGTGCTTTGCCAAACTAGACTTGTCTGACGCATACCTCCAGATTGAAATGTCGGAGGAATCCCGAGAGATGCTGACGATAAATACCCACCGTGGACTATTTCAGTATACGCGTCTACCATTCGGTGTTAAATCTGCACCGGCTATCTTCCAGCAGACGATGGATACAATGCTTCATGGGATACCATACGCCGCAGCATACCTGGACGACATCATCATTACGGTGTCTAACTAGGGAGAACTGCGTCAACGGACGGAGCATGTACTCAATAGAATAAGCGAATACGGATTTCGTTTGAAATGGACAAATGTGAGTATATCATGAAGTCCATTAAATCCCTTGGGTTTATCTTTGATGAGAATGGGCGACGACTGGACCCGTCGAACATCAAAGCGACCAAATGCATGCTGCCACCAAAGGATGTAGCGACCCTAAGATGATTCCGCAACATGGTGAGTTACAACAGTGCCTATCTACCCTCCAAGCATGAGTTAGGCGGACCGTTAAACTAACAGTTGAAGAAAGATACCCCATAGGAATGGACACCCAGATGTCACGGTGTTCGACAAGATCGAGTCGATGCTGAGCTCGGAGCTGTTACTCATGCATTATGCTCCAAAGTTGGCAATTGTTGTGGTCTCAGATGCTTCAAGCTATGGAGTCGGCGCAGTCATCTCACACGTGTTCCATGACGGAGCCGAGAAACCAGTCGCTCTGACAATACAGTCAAATCGAATAAGAGGCCCTAGCTATCGTGTTTGCGGTAAAGCATTTTCACAAGATGTTATATGGTCTTCAGTGCACTCCAATAACGGACCACAAACCTTCCCCCGCCATATTCGGTTCCAAGAAAAGGGTCCAAGTGTACACGGCCAATCGTCTGAAAATATGGGCTACAGTGTTGCACGGATATTATTTCACTACTAAGTACCGATCGACAAATGACATGTGTCAGGCGGATGCGCTATCACGATTGATGGATCAATCAGATGACACCGTTGTTACCAACGAGGCATTAGAAACGGAAGTTAATTAGGTGCTTTAAAATATGGTGGCGGACTACCAATATCTTTCAAGTCTGATTCGACAAGAAACCTTAAGTGAACCGTTCCTATCACAAGTGAGCCCGTGGTGGAGCTGTACGCTATTGGGTAAATGAGTCACCTGGCTGTCAACGGTCTTCGTGAATTGTCCCGCTGCCTTGCAGATCAGGTCTTTAAGACCAACGGCTCGGGGTGGGGCCACTTAAGTCCACCCTTTTCCTCGACCTGGGCAACCAGGAAGCTCTCCGCTCAGACAGCACATGGGATTTTGCATCCCTTCACCTGACTCTCTTCCTCCTTGTTGTTATTATTACTCATGAGTTGTGACTGCCAAATGTTTACTGGGCAAGTGTTAAATAATATATATCACATGTGAGCAAGTTCCACCGTTCACAGCGGACACGAAAAATTTCGGACGCACGGGTAAAGCAGTTTGCTTAGAGAAGGAATTTTTTATTCAGCGTCCAAGACTGCGTCGGATTTTCGAAACGTGTCGTCTATCAGCGCAACTCCAATCCAGAGTCTTGAAGCAGTTTTACGCCAGACATCCTGGCTCTAGCAGTATGAACACTTTGGCGAAAAATTATATTTATTGGCCGTTTATGGATTCACAAAATGAAGATTTCGCCCGCTCGTGTTTCAAATGTTCATTGAAGGCGAAATTCCTCGAAAGTGTGAACTGCTTTCCTGGCCAACACCCGCAAAACCACGGTCAAGAGTGCACCTTGAATTTGAAGGACAACTCAAGGTAGATAATATTTACTTGTCGTTGACGCATACAGAAGCTGGCCTGAAACCTTACAAATGTCGAACATCACCTCATCAGCCACAAGATGCGCCCTCAGAGAAGTTTTCAGTCGCTTTGGATTCCCGGAAACAGTTATGTCAGACAGCAGGCCTCAGTTCATCTCCGCGCAAGTCGCCGACTTTTGTGCGATGTACGGGATGAAACATCTCCGTTCGCCTACCTATCATCCCCAGTCAAATGGACAGACAGATTCAACGACACATTCAAGAGAGTTCTGCACAAAACAGAGGGGGATGGAGTCATTCATGAGATGCTGCAGACCTTTTTATTGATGTACAGGATTACACCCAATCCGCAGGCACCGCAGGGAGAATCTCCGGCCGAATCGCTTCTGCTGAGAAAGTCCCGAACAAATTTTGACCTCATAAGGCCGCGGCGAGAAACCAGAAAATGGAACGCCCGTACAAGCGGATGTACCAAGCAATAGCGAGGAGTTTCGAGGTTGGACAGATGGTTCTGGCGAAAGACAATCGGAGGGGAAATATCGCATGGACACGTGGCCAAAGTATAAAAAGGTACGGTCATGTCTGCTATGAGGCAACCGCGTGCAAAGAAAGGTGCGTCCGCCACATCAACCAGCTCAGATGTTTCGCCAAATACAACTGAAGATGTCTGGTCGACTCCTATGAAAATAATTTTGAATGAATTCAAGTTATCGAAGAGTGATGCAACTCCTCAAGGTAAACATACTACACCCTGTGTTACCCCCAAATGGCGGCACAGAAGATGGACAGACCGATGCAGAGTCCCCGTCACACGGTTCCAAGTCAAACCCAGACTGAAATCGCACACCAGTGGACTTCGAACATGGAGGTGTTAAGAGGGGCACCTCCTAACGAATCGACCGGCGGCGCTTGTTTTCGACTAAAACTAATGGATTCTGCCAATATTTCTTCAACAGTCTTGTTTATCAATGAAAACAATGTTCCTGAAGATTCGGATACTATTATTGGCAAGGAAGAACGGAATAGGAACGAAGAATATTCAAGAAGGTCGCCCAATACTTATAAATGTAACCCGCATGCTTTACGTTTAGTCTTGTTGTTCAGCAAATACACGGTTCATGAAGTCCGCCATTGTTGTTTTGTCAACCGATCCGTGGCCAGGGTCGAATAGCTAATCGGAGTGAAGGCGTGATCGTAGCGACGCAGGGACCGACGGTTCTCATAGCTAATTGGAGTGAAGCGGTGGTTATAACAGTTGGGTGATAAGCGGGGTAGTCGGCTGGCTTGCCGAACAACCTCCTCGTGGTACAGCTGGGTGGTTCGGGATTATCCCGTTCCAGCGAATGGTTCAGCGGTAGTGTTCTATAACGCGGTGGGTTTTCGTCTGACAAGCGTTCTTCCTATAAAAAGCCACAAATGTCTGTTTAACAACACTGTGACGTGGCGGATGTGACTCGCCACTAAATAAAGTCACTGCCCCTTGCCTCCCTTTGAGTGACATTGTAATTCAAAGGTGTGTTGGGCCCCTGATCCTATGCGGTCCTAAAGGCGTATGAACCAACTATTTGGTCACCGGCTCCCAACGGGTTGCGATACCCTCATATCGCCCTGCTGCCTTGTAGGTTAGATCCTGGATCAAAGGCTCGGGATGGGTCCCCATAAGACAAGCCACTACTTCGGCCTGGGCAACCGGGTAGTATCACGCCCACTGACGAACCTTGGATGGATCAACCCCTTCCTTCCTCCAATAAAATCATCAAAAAACTTAAAGACTGCGAGTGAAAAATGGACAAAATTTTTTTTACTTTCTTTGTTCATTTAATCTAACCCTATTTTCCTATTCCGCCATGGTTCCGATGACACAATATATACATAAGCGGGTAGTCTGTACCACAGCACGGGGTAAGATGCTGGATAGGCTTTGGCTACTGCAGTCGAGTCTCCTGTTGAGTAACTGGAAGGCGACGTCCCCTGTGAACGGTAGAGTGAGAAAGCCATCTTGATGAGAAGTACTGAAAAGAGATTTCGCAAGCTTGAGTTCTTACTCCTGGATTGTTAGTCGGTCATTCAGCAGATCCCCCCAGAAGAGCTCCAGAGAAAAGCCGATTATGATCAACTCGAAAATTAATTAGAGAAAAAGGGATGCAGGAAATCTCCGGGGAGTCGTATCAGTTTGAGAGAAATTGAAACAGCTTCCCATAGACCTGCACAAGGCCGCATGAGTAATTTTTCAATGTTGATCAGTAACACAGACACATGTGGCAAGCTAAGTGGAAGGCTGCTTCCATGTCAAGGAAAACCACTGTGGTGGATCGCCTGTGCACATGTCGGTTTCTTAGAGCCTGAGAAGCAGCGGATATGTGATCGATGCATCTTTGGAAATCAGGAAAAAACAAGTGAAAAGCTCGGTGAAACTCACCATTATGTTCTCATTTTCATCAACCAGCTGAACAGAGGAAGGTTCTGCGGAAGAATCACATCGTGAGGTGTGGGAGGTTCGGCCAATCGATCTGGAAGCAATCATTACGGGTACGCCAGGAGGATCATCACATTCAGCTGAGGAATAGAAAAAGGATACGGAACTACTATACTAGTGGCGGCGAGAATAAAGAAACCTAACTCTCGACACCGTCCAATTAAACAGCCAGGAAATGATGATAAAAAGAATGAAAGTGCTGGCTAGCCGAACAACCTTCACGTGGTGTCAGCTGGGTAGTTCGGGATTATCCTGTTCCCGCGAATGATTCGGCGGCAGTGTTCCAGGACGTGGTGGGTTTTCGCCTTGCAAGCGTTCTCCATAGAAAAAGCCACAAAGGTCCGTTTAACAACACTGTGACGTGGCAGATGTGACCCGCCACCACATATACGTACATATCTACATACACACAAATCCACTATGCTACTGATTAACTTGCTATATTTTTATATGATTACTAACCATACATGTTTGTATCATTTTGGTCATGCCTTCGCAAAGGTGCCTCGCACTGCAGAGAATAAAACATTTATTTATTTGACTTTTGAAATATGTAAATAAGCGACAACGTCTGCCACCATGTTCGTGGTGGCAATCGATGTTCATAAAATTGCGTGATAACTTTTAAGTGTGGTTCGCTCTGAAAAGTAGCTTTGAGACGGTTAAAGGGATGGAAAAATATAATTCTGTAAGAGAGCAAAAAACGAAAAATGATTTAGGCGTGTTTAGGTGGTAACATTAATATGATAGTTGACTTCGCGAAATTCCAGGAGCCTCAAACATCTGCAGAGGTTGGGTACAAATACTGAAAACCTAAATACACACGTGCAAAAACGAAGTTCAGTTCAGTTCAGTTGAACAACTATGACCCGGATACGGAAGCGCAGTAGTTCCCGTTGCCATGACTCATGTCGCAAGAATAACAATAAATGACAACGGCAAAACAGTGGGGTTGAATGCAAAAAAATGGAATAAAGGAGGTGGGTTAAACTAATGTGGAGCGGATGGTTATTAACATCCAGAAGCATGAAACAGAATGTCACCGACTACACGACTGCGCCATGTCTAAGCGAGTCTATAACCACTGGTGTAGAGCATACCAGGGTCCCTATCCAGGAAGACTACATTCACCAGCGAGACCAAGTATCTCGGTCAATTTCTTCATGCCTTTATGCTACGTCATGTACTGGTGAACTCGCGCTTTCGCACAACTCAGTGTAGTGAAGCCGGTCAAACGGTATACGGATGACTAGTGTAGCCAACGTAAACGGTTAAGATTCAGCAAACAATCGAGGGACGCATAAGACTTGTTGCCAAAAACCAACCAGTAAAGCTCAGCACTGCTCACCCCGTGTTCCCACCAGATTTAATCAATACTCCAAAGGCAGCAGTGGTCAAACAGCGCCAAACGTTTAATGTCATCACTCCGAGTTGACCAAGTCACTGATCCATACAGTAAGACAGGCCTTACCACAGCGTTATGCAGCCTACTTTTCAGTGACAAGCTGATATCCCGCCGTCTCTATAAATGGCTGAGTCAATGAAAAGCTACATGAACCTTTCTGATGCGTGAAGTAAACTCCCCAGCGATGTGACCACCAAACATGACACAACTACCAAGGTAAGTGAACCGATCTACCTCGTCCAGTGGCTGCTGGGTGATAGCTAAAACGGGTGGTGCATCGGTCCAATTCTGAAACAGTAATTCGTACTTTGAAGGTGCAAAACATGCTCAAGCATGAAGCGCTACGTATCAGTTTGTGTAGTAGTGTTTGCATAATCAAGGAGAGCTACGTCGTCCGCATATTCAATGTTTGTTAGTCGGTAGCCTGGCAGAACTTCCACTCCAGTATAGTCTGAAATAACGAGTCATTCATGATCGTTTTAATCAAAAAGTTGAAGAGCAAAGGAGATATAGGATAACGCTGGCGAGCACCACTTGTCGCAGGGAACAGCTTCCTGTTGACCCTTATATGGCTTCGGGAATAACGGTGAAGAAACTTCAGAACAGAAAGGAATTTAGCTGGCACGCCCTTCATGGATAAACAGCGTCACAAGCTGGTGTGGTTAACAGAGTCGAATGCAGCTTTCAAAGAAAACCACTATAGTCGGTAGTCTGTAGATGTTTCTGCTTTAAAAAGTGAAGAGTAAATATGTGGTCAATGCAATCGTGACCAGTGATTCGGTAGCGTGAGAGCTGAATATACCGTGAGGTCACTCGCACCTACGCGGATTCGAGCCGGCGACCTCGGGATTACAACAAAAGTGCGCGATCTTTTCTGCCACCGGCTGACATCTCAACTCAGTTGCCTCCATATTAATGATGCATATCAAGCTGCAGCGACGCAATGATTCTCACGAGATATCCGCCCAGGTATGGGGTGCGTTTACCACATAATTGCTCCTCGAAAGTTGGTTCAAGCTGAACATTAGTACTAGCAACTTAGCGCGGTAGTCTTTCTTGACTTAGAAGCTGCTCCTGATTCCGTCATATGCACCTGTTTGCGATGGCGTCTATCATCAAAGAGTGAACCTGAGAAATTTCCACATATTACATCTCTATACTCCGACTCGCGTGCAAGTTTAACTGTTCGCGGAAAACTACTCTCTTAGCTCTCAAAAGCAACGAAATTGCGTCAGGACTTGTTAGGAGGGGCACCTCTTAACGAATGGATCAGTGAACCCAAATGATGTGCATGGCTGGACGCTAAACGCGCGCGTCCGTCTGCCGTTATCATTGATTGAGAATTTGGATTCTGTGTTCATGTGACCTCGAGTGCCTCGCACGTCCAGTTGCGGTATTTTTGAGACTGACTTTTACGCAAATAGCCATCTTATTACACAGCTCTGTATTTCTGTTTTTGGTTGGCTTAACAGGACTGGCTTGTTTCTTCGTTTCCTTTCAACGTTGTGATCGAAATTGTCAGAAGTGACTCGCTTTTGCCTTCCTTGTATCCATGCGCTGATAGTCGGCCGATAGTGTGCGGATGACAGAGATCTCATTGGGATGGATGTCATCTACTATGCGAGCGCTATCGAATAAGTTGATGAGCAGCGCTGCCAGCTCTGATAGGTGTACTTGTTGTAACACTACCCTGCATCGGCTATCTGCCTTGTGTGCCATCCAACCCACCCGGGAAAACAGAGAATAAGAGCTGCTAGACCGGAGTATGTTAAGAACAGAGCATGGTTAAATTTATAGAGCATTCGTTCTCATTCCCGACTGTACGTTGCTGGGTCGATTGACGTCACCTGTCCACTCATGTCCCAACGTGCCCGCGGTCTCCAGGGTTTGGCTGCAGCCTAGCTCACGCCTGCCCCGTAGCAACCCGTATTGATAGCGAAGTAACTTCGTCAGCTGCCCTGGACGGCGTGCCAACCTGTTTCGCGGAAGAGGAACTGATTTCATCAGCTTTCCGCGTGGCTTGCCGAAGGCCCACTTCGCGTCTCGAAATCGTGTCGCTGCGTTCGACCATCGAGGCCGCTTAACAGTACTGCACCTTCAAAGTGTAAATTACTGTTACACCGGAAGTTCTCACTACCATCGAGCAGCCGCTCGAAGTCGTTAATTAGACTACTTAGCTGGGTAGCTGCGTCAGCTCCGGTTAGTTTAAACATTGCTGAGATTTGCATGGCTCCACATAAGCTAGATCATCTGTGAAGATAGCAAGATGTGAAGTGGTTAGGAAGCTATGAAATTGACCGTCTTTAACGGCCGAGGCGCGCGAAGTATTGCTCACATCTGGTACACTCGAAGCACTTTTGGTTGTTCGGTACGCCTGCAAGCTGACTGCATCCGGTGTGTACTGCTTGCCAAGACTGCGAAAGTGAGACTAAACCGGTGTGGTCAGCAAATAACTTAGAAGAGCATGAACAAACTCAAGGAAGACCTGAGTCGAGTTGGTAGTTATTGTATTCCTAGACGGGATCCTCGGCGTCGGTCCTATTATTGGCTAGAGACCACACTGAATGTGGTAGGCTCACGAAGTGAGTGGAGCTCCGGCATCTGTTTGCTCACTTCGGACCCTCTACTACCGATCTGATAAGTTAAATGCTCAGTCAACCCACTTAAAGTAATATGCTAATTAGTATTTATTTTGTGACATATGCCAAGGCAGCCGGATCTACAGCATCTCGGTGCGCGGATCAAGATTGATAAACAATTTAGCTGAGCGTCGATCTAATGGACGGTCAGCAGAAAAGTGGTATGGATGCTCGAGTGCGCTGGCTATCGGAGACGAAGTGGCGCCTAGATTGTTTTAAAGTCAATGTTCATAAGATCGATCATGTCAGGTGTAGGACCACAACCTTTATGTCAAAACGGTCGTCTTCCAGTAAACATTCGCACTGCATCACCTCGCCGGCCTGTAGCCTAAGGTAACAAGCTTGTCTTGTAATCTGACGGCGCGGGTTCGAGCCTACGTAAAGGCAGGGCGACTCTCGCAGCATCCTTAGCCCATGTGCGACCGGTGGTGGTTGCGCAGCAGGGAAGCGTCGTTATTGCGTACCGGTGAACTACTGATGCCTTGCTTTACTGCGTCACCACCGTGCCCACCGTACGAAACGCTAACTGGACTAAGAAGCGACCATATCGCTATTAGCCATGGATGGAGAGCTCCAACACAAAACCGTCAGTGGATTTGGAGAAACGAAATCCCCAGGAGCATCATCAACCGCGTTACGTCAGCAATTTGAATATATGCTAAGCTGTGGTACAAACATAATAATCCGAGCATGAAGGATAATAAAGAAGAGGAGAATAGAAATTTAGTGTATAAACAAGCATTCAAAATTAAGGCGCTACACCTAGCTAATAGCAAACGGTCATAAGCGGTTAGCTATGGTACGAGGACCAGGTGACGGTGAGGTGAGTTCATTACGGCACGTATAGCTCTGGATTGGAATCAGTCTCAATCCACTACCATGGAGTCCGAGTACTCAATAGTGCGTGCCAAAGTATATCCTTCTGTCCTTAACGAAGCGTTATATTTCGAAGATACCTTTGTGCTAACCGATATTATACAGCAAAACCGAAAGGGTGGGATGAGTCAGCTAATTAGCGATGGTGATCACCTTTGAT